TTTTTGTATAAGCCAATGGTAATGGGTAAGATCAAGTGTATTATGTACAAGGCATCTTCTGACTGATGGAAACACATAGACAAATTTTAGAATATTCCCATGTAGTTAAAAAAAAAAAACTAACATTAATAACCTAAATCATTTGATTTCAACAGTGATGATTTTCTATTCCTTCCTTTTATTTTTAGGGGATCGTTGAAAACTTTTGTTCATACAGTTCATCTATTACAGAAACAGACTGACCTAGGGTCCCTGCCTGTAGCTGATGTACTATATAGGTAAGTTGTCACCAGTGGTCCCTAACCTTCTTCCAAGCATGGCAGATTTGTGCCTAAGGCTCTCTATCTTCTTTTTTTAACTTTTTATTGTGATTTGGGTGGAAGTTCACAGAGCAAATTAGTTTTCCACTCAACAATCCATGCACATTTTGTTTTGTGACATTGATTGTAATCCCCACAATATAATAGTACTCTTCCTACTTCCTCCCAGTGTTTACTGTTTCCATTTGTCCTTTCCAATCCTTTTCTGCCTTCTAAGCTTTATCCCTGGGCAAATGCTACCTTTTTGATCTCATGTGATTGGTTGTTCTAAGGAGTGCATACCTCCCTGGATAGGCTTGTCTGATGTTTGGCTGAAAGTTGAGCCACAGAGATGAGTTCAGTTCTAGGTTTGAAGAGTGTCTAAGGGTCATAGTTTGTGCAGCCAGTGAGGACTTCCATCAGTCTGTATCAAACCCGTAAGCCTGGTCTTTTTATGCTTTTGAGTCTTTGCACATTTTTCTCCCTCTCTATCTAGGACCTCCTATTGTGATCCCTTTCAGAGTGGTTGGCCGTGGTAGCCAGGCACCATCTTTTCTTTTGATCTCTAGGTAATAGAGGCTGGGTTCGCTTGGTCCATTAGTCCTTTGGACTGATTGTTTCCATGTGTCTTTGATTTTCTTCATTCTTCGTTGCTCCATATGAGACCAATAGTTGCACATTAGATGGTTGCTCATAAGTTTTTAAGACTCTAATTGCTACTTATCAAAGTAGGATATAGAACATTGGGGACTATGTTATGCCAGTTGACCTTGATGCACCCCAAAACTATGGTCCTGAGCCCCCAAGCCCAGTGACTCAGTCCCTCAAGGTGTCTGGTTGTGGTTAAGATGTTTTCAGAATTTTACCCCCGGTATGCCCTGCTGTATTCATGGGTGTATTTGCAGCATATGTAGAAATATCCTCTGTCAAGCCTCCGTATGTATATTCATGGGTGGAGTCCCAGTTGCTTTCCCACACCTGTTAGCTTGTGTGTCTATCTATATATGCACTTTTAAATTACTGTCATTACTGTTACTGCAGGACTGCGTATTTAATAGTATTTACCTCTGTTCCCGTTAGCCTGTGTGTCTATCTATATATGCACTTATAAATTACTGTCATTACTGTCACTGCAGGACTGTGTATTTAATAGTGTTTACCTCTGTTCCCATGAACTCTTGTGCTCCTCCCAATGTCTTCCTTTGGTTGGATCGCTTTGTGCCAGTCTCCCCATTGTTGCATATTGCCTTTACTTAGAGCCTCTCCTCTAGTGATGTATTCTCCTTTCCTTCCCACCCTTGGTAACCTTCAAAGAATGTTTCTGTTTGTGTATAAACCTTTTCTTGACTTTTGACAGTAGCGGTCTCTACAATATTTGTCCTTTTTTTTTTTTTTAGCCTTGTTATTGTGATTTGGGTGAAAGTTTATAGAGCAAACCCGTTTTCTGTTCAACAATTCGTACACATTTTGTTTCATGTCATTGATTACAGTCCCCTCAATGTAACATCATTCCTCCCACTTCTCCCTTGTGTTTCTCATTTCCATTCCTCTTTCTCTCCTAACCCTCCCTGCCTTCTAAACTTTGTCCTTGGGCAAATGCTGCCCTTTTGGTCTTGATTGGTTGACTGTTTTAAGAAGTATGTACCTCCCTAGAGTTATTGGTCACCTTGTAGACCTGTCTATTGTTTGACTGGAAATTGAGCTACAGGGGTGAGTTCAGTTCCAGGTATTTGTCCTTTTGTGATTGACTGATTTCACTCAGCATAATGTCCTCTAGATTAATAAATGTGGTATATTATATAATAAGTAGAACTTTTTGTTTGTGTCATCTTTTCTTTTTTGAAATTGCTCCTAGAACATGTCATTTCATTCTTTTTTTGTGTGCTTTTTTAAAAATGCAGTATCTTGTAATGAATAGAATGCTTATTGTAGAATTTGAGATGATACTATATTGAGGTATAAAGAAGAAAGGGAAAGTTATTCATAATCTCTCCACCAGAGATTATTTTTGCTAATGTTTTATTATATGTGCTTCCATTGACTGCTAATCAGAAGGCTGGTATTTCAAACCCACC